CTTAAGCAAGTACTTGCCAGGATCCAAAGGCACAGAGATTTATCTCAACTCGATTAAGCTCAGGGATTTCTCCAAAAATCTGTCATCATCTAAAATTCCAGAGTACAGCAGACAATGCACACAAACTACATTTCCAGCTCACAAGATCTAGGATCCTTGTGCTATTTTACCTTTCTGACATCAAAACTAGAAGTGCAAACTTGATTTGCCTGTACACATTCTCAATCACATTATCTTTAGCGACATGCTAAACAAAAGAATCCCCCCAAGATATTCATAGATAGGTTTTGTCTCCTGAAATTCAATTCTGCCTTTCACTACATTCATTAGCTCCATTTATTAACTTTTCTCTTTTCCTTCAGCAAAAAGAAAAAATACCCAAACAAGTGTCAAAATACCATGATTGAGACCTGCTGGAAGAAAAGTGCTTGAAACAGCAAAATCAAGTAACTTTGGAGCTGGCTGTACTGGGTTCCCTGGTGTACCAAGAAACGCTACAATTAAACTGAACTAATTAGATTTTTTTTTAAATCTGTCAAAAAGGTAACATATTTGGTTCAAACTAGAGACAAGAGACCGCTCTGGGTCCCATAACACTAAAACATTCAGTTAGGAGTTCCAGGGAAGACTAAACTACACAAAATGCAGTGACAATGTATCAGCATGCTATACCTAGCTCCCTATACACAAGTGGTGGCTCAGGGGGCAACTCCTCTCCCCGAGGCAGCCTCTATACAAAGCTATGGAACAGGGTTTTATATTGTAAACAGACCACACTTATTCAGGTTTCTAAACAAAGAGACACAATTACCCATCCATCCTACATCAACATTTCTACCGGGGTGGAATGGTAGGGGTGGCGGTGTTAATCAAGAAGGGTTTTTTAAACATTAAACTAGTGGAACATCAACTCCCCAGTAAAAAGAGTAGTAACTCTGAGCCTCTGCATCCCCTCTCTTTTCCAAGAAAGCAATATTCTATGAATTGTCATGTCTATTAATTTGCAACCCAAAATGGTTAAATAAAGAATAGTATTTAATAGTCAGGGATAAATATCTGCTTTACAAGGAACTTCCGACTGCATAGCAAGCTTATATCTGACAGTGGAAAAGATTTTGGCTGCCAAAGTCATGAGTCCTGTAACTTGTCATATCAGTGCCAAGCTCTTATCCCTCCTGTCCAAAAGGCAAAACTTAGAATCTGTGCAGGAGGAAAAGCTCTGCTGGGGTTTACAGCCTATATGATTTCTGATAAGAACCAGATTTTCTAATTAGGTAACCCAAATAAAAGCAGTTTCAAAAAAATATGAAAATATGAACTTCATGTTTCTTATGAAAAAAGGAAAGAAATGGTTATGCAGAGACTGATGACAACTGGCACAAGAGTTACACTGGTTATTAAACTCTGTTACCACTGATGGAGAATAGGAAACATGATGCTTTGTGAATGCACTGCATATTTACATACTGTATCCCACACCTTTTCCTAATAGGCACTATAAATTCTAAGAGAAGCACTTTAATCTAGACCATGTATTTAATGTAGAGAATGAGAGAAGTCATAATTTAGACGTTTACCACAATCTGCTCCCGTTTGAAAGTCTAAGTTGCCTGAAGACACAAGCTCCCATAGCTCAAAGTTTTCACAACTTTATACCCTCACTTTTTCATTACAAGAGAGGCTTTCTTTCCTAACACCCACCTGTCCCTAACCTTGTTTCCTCTTTTAGCTTCAGGTCTGAAGTAGTAACAACAAATCTTTTGGTCAAAGCCTGAAGTTCAAGAGACAACCTAAACCTACAGGACTACACACATTACAGCTGTCTGATGTTGGGAGCCATCTTTTGTCCCAGTAACCATAAGCCATAAATGTTATGTCTGCCAGTTTTAGAGTTGCCAGGAAAACAAGAACAAGCCCATTCAGATAGTCTTTACTGATTGTTGATCAGCTGCCCATCACCAACTAAAACCTTCTCTTCTACACAACTTATCCTGAACACAAACCTCCTATTTTACCAGAAATGCAGGAAGTTTAACAGTTTCATAGAGCTCTACATTACACTTCCTCCATATTTCTAAACAGAGAATGAGATTTTTCTGAAGACTTAGTTACAACCAATGCCCAAGCATAAACTCTTCTGCCAGACTTGCACAGGACAAGCTGAAAACACTAGTAACAGAGCTGAGTTACAGATAAAGGTAACTTTAAATAGAAAAGAACTTAGAAGAATCTGGCAAAACCCATACTAAAATCTCTTCCTCTTGCTCCATACAGAATACAGTGTTTATTTTTATCTCACTCTAAAGCTGACCTGAATCCAGAACCACTTACCAACAGGAAACAAACAGACAAAAAAGCAACCACATTAACTTTAGTTTACACAGACATAAAATGCTTTTTTTATCCTTACATTAAGAGCACTCTAAATTAAAATATTTAGACTTACTCTACCCAAACAAACATCCCTGCATTTACAGTTTCTAAATTTCTCTCCTCAGTTTCCCCCAGTGCACATCAACATTGCTCAACTTCAACAATGGAACCCCACTAGTTATTTTATTTCCTGATTTTCCTACCTTTGCACAATACAACATATGACAACCAACTGAAGACATTTTAACAGAAAATCTTCCTCTTGTCTTTGTTAACGCCCATCTCCTCTCCAAACCATGCAAGTTCAAGCCTAACACAACAGCTACTTGGCCCTATTTTTTAGGCCCTGCAGTTTCAGAAAGAACATGTGTTCATGAAATGAAGGATGAGATTAATTTGAAGAAACATTTAACATACAAAGAAAACAAGTAAAATGGATTTTAAATGCATCTGAGCTCAATTCCCTGCACTAGTAACTACACATCTGCACAAATGAATTCACCTGCACTTCCAGAACTAAGGCAGATGTTAATTCTAAAAGTAAGGCTTAGATTTTTTGTAGCCATGATAGAAAGGAAATAGCAAGGCCATGTTTCCATCTCTAAGCATTGTTAAAAATTGTAATGATCTGCTGACTTGTGAAAAAAATTCCCCTCCAAAAAATCCCCAATGGCTTCTTACCAAGCACCAAACTGAGAACAGATGGCCAGCATCAAGTCTGCAATTACCAGTGGGGCCTGGCAGTCCCACAAATCACAATGATACTCTTTTTGTGGATGTGGGGACAGCATGAGAGACGCAGACAAGCAGGTATCATAGGCAAATGCACTTTCCACTAAAAATGTACAGACACATTCCATTTCTAAATCTGCCACATGCTCCTTCCGTTAACTTTCGATTTACATTTAGGTTTCCCTCCCCTTTTTTCTTCAACATTTTATTTTCTGCTACTGGAAGTTTTACAAACAAGGTGGCAGGAAATTGGTAACAGTAAAGATACAACAGAACTGACCACTGTCAATCATCACCAGAGGCATAAACTTCATGAACTACCTGTTGTTGCAACTTTTCCCTTCTTTTGCTTTGACAAACCCTAAATGTAGCTCGTAACAATGATCTATGAAAAGCATGCAAATCAGAGTTAAGTAGTAACAACTGCCTATCAAACTTGTGATTGTACTCCTGTGCCATCCCCCTCTCTCCCTGTCCCCAGGAACAGCTGGTCTGTTCTCTTAGCCAGGACAACATCTGATGAGGAGGTGCTGTTTCATTTCCTCTCCCACTCCTCAAATGGGGAAGCCCTCAAAGGGGGGATGGGAGAGCATGTTTTTAATTCAAATTCTGCATCTTAAAATAGCATTGTGCAACACATGGGCGAATCTGATTGTAAATATATATATATATACACACACACACATATACATCATGAGAGCTTTATTCCCCCTGCATCTCTTAATGCAGAAAATTTATTGCTTTTTTCTTTAATATCAATTTACTATTTCAGTTTTACATCCAAGAATTTGAGTACTTGAGTAAAATTTTTATTTTGCTAAAGCTGATAAAGATTTAGAAATTAAAGGAAACAGCAAGCAAGCTATGAGGCATCTCCTGTGGAGTTCCTTTTCAACTGACAGATGCAGCAGGAAGAGCATGGAAAGGATTTCTTCATGTGCACAGAGGCCTGACATACTTAACTCTTCAGGCATCATGAACCTCTCTTCAGGAATTCTCAGCCCCCCTGTAGTGACTTCTGTCCCTTACATTAATTCAGCATTCCTTACTTGATTTCTATTAATTTCTCTTTTCTTCTTCAACTACCCCTTTTGGAAAATTTACCAGGCATAGAAAGATGATACAGAAAAATACACCACAGTCCTCCTGTCATCACCTTAGTCTGGAAAATCTTAGTGGGAAATAAGGCTGTGCAAAAAGAACCTCAAGCCTTACTACTGTCTAGTGTTTCTCATTCTGGCTTAATTCAGTGACACATTCCATAGGAAGGGTGCCAATGTTACGGAGATGATGCTATCCTAGAGGCTGAAACCCTCCCTGATATGATCAGCTTTGAGTAATCATGATTTACTCCAAAACAAGTTTCAACAATCTATAGATACTGCTAATTCTCCTTAAAGATCTTTGACTCTGTGTCAAATGCCATGCCATAAAATGCAAACACCTCCCACCAGAAGAAGTGAGAAGGCAACACACCCATTTTCCTCCCAACCACAATGAGCAAACTTTCTTTCCTGACACACACAATACATGCCAGAAAGCACTGTCCTTTCATCAACTCTCTCAAAAGTTGTTCTGCTTTTACCACTTGTTTATCAACTGCTCTAGTACAGGATATTACTTCTCTGTACAAATCTGGCACTTTTTGTAACTGCGATTATCAAAAGATCCAACACAAATACCGGCTTTGTGGCAGAGATGCAAGTTAATACATACAACTCATGCAGAAGTAAATTAATTAAACCTCACCAAAACAATTACTTGGTCCAGCCAGGAACACAAAGAATTGTATGCGCTCAACAGGTTTGCAAAAGTACTGTTATTTTGGGAAACGTACCTTTAAAACATTTTGGATTGTTTCTCTCTCGGAAACATCCAAAACAGTGTCAACTCACCTTCCACACTATCAGAACAGGAGGTACCAATCCCAGTGTCACCGCTGTCGGAAGCTATACTGTGTCTTCTGACAGGATTGCTTTGACTGCTTGATGAAATAGTTGTGGACTGCCACAGGGATTCAGTACCAGGTAACCATCCCACTGAGGAATAATCTGAGCCTATAAAGAAGGAAGCCAGAAGTCTGTCATTATGGATACAATACAGAAATCAACAATAAAATAGCGGTCAAAATGAAAACTGAATCTTAGGTTTCATAGTTCAGGTTGGAGCCAGACTGTGCCAATGTTTTGGGTTGAGATTTTTTGTAGGCTTGGGGGGGGAGGTGGGGTGTGAGGTGCTGGTGTTTGGTTGTTTTTTGTTGTTGGAGAGGGGAGCTGTGTATGCTGTGGGCTTCGGCTGGCTGGTTGGTTTGGTGTTTGATTGGTTTTGTTTTGTTGTTTTTAATTAAAATCCTTTTTGCTAGGGTGGAAGCTTCCAAAAAAAAAAAATCCAGTAAATACATTTTTGCTATTAAAAAAACATGACCTCCAAACTGTTCTTGCACTAACTTTAACAGGACACTTAACACAATTCCTATTCTAAAACTGATTCTCAACTCACAGCAGAATTTTGCATTGCAAGTGTTTAAATACAGTCAGAGATGAATGAATTTTTGGAGAGAAAGCAGTTGAAGATTTGGCCAGTGAAATGCAGTCATGCCCAACTATGCATAAACCACATGACCTAAGTGGTTAAATGAAGGAGCAATTGCATCATTAACACCGATATCTAAAGTCATTCATAATGTTTCACTGTTATCTGTAGTTTTCAGTTATTAAAAGACAGACTACCAACTCAAGCAGGAACACAGTGGCTGCACACATGCTATCTTTGTGATACATCTATCCATCCAATGATTTAATTTGGGTTATTTTATTTTAAACAATCATTAAATTATTAAATTGTAAAGCACAATTTAGAGCAGCAAATAGTTCCTCTGTTCAAGGAATTTTTGAGGATGTGTGGCCTACTTTATAGTCAGTCTCAAGGGAAAAGACATCACAGAGTACAACCCCAAGGGGCCATCACAATCTCCAATAGCCAATATCTAAAGCTGAGCATTCTTTATAGGCAGAATACCACTCATCACATTCACACTCCAAGCCAGCAGAGCCACATAAAGCACCTTGGTAAAAATGCACAGCCTGCTCCTTATTTTATATATAACCACATACATACACCCCCTCTAGCAGTTAGCTTTGCATAACACTTTCAGCAGGAAATGACTCATGAAGAAGTATCAGTGCACATACAATGTCCCTTATGCTACATGAGGTTATTTTTAGGTCATTTCAACATTTTCAGCAACATCCATCCAAAGTTGTAACAGCAATTTGCCTCTGCAATGACATCTGCAGATCATAGCTATTTCCAGCTGTACTTGTTTCCCAATAAATTTAATGGTTTAGAAAAGGATGTAAAAATGAACACATCTGTATATCTATAACTCACACATATATATGTATACATACTCCCCATATAGCAGCCAAATCACTACACCTACTAGCCAGAGTGATAGCAGCTGCTCACCAAACCACTTGTAAATTGAAGAATACAGTATATAATTCCTTACTGTATGCACTATTTAAATGTAGCATGACATCTAACAGACCCTACTTTCTGTAAGTAGGTTCTTGGAGGTCTTAAGTGTGCCTGTCCATCTCATTTGTCTGAACTTCATTCTCCTTTGAGGTTACCACCTCTTCTTCCCTTTAACATATTTTCCTATCTTTTCTTGGTCTTTAAAATCATTTGATCCTCCTTCCCCTTCATTCCACTTTAGTCATAGCTTGTGCAATGTATTTCCTTGTCTTCCTTAAACTTTTTGCTTTTCCTCCCCAAAAGTAACTTAACTCTTCATTATTCCATTGAGTAGCTTTCAAATCCAAGGATAAGGCAGTAGAAAAGGAGACCAGGAGAGCCAGACATGAACACAACTGCCTGTGGTTCACCCATGGCTCACCAGTCACACCCTGTAAGGATGTCCCAGAAATCCTAACTGAATACCACTCCAGGTGTCATTCTTCATACCATCCTCTCTGTCATCATCTAACATACTGAAACACAATAGTTTCACATACAGGTAATGGAAACTGGGACACTTCATCTCCTACCATCCAGCACATTTTTCACTAAACACTCTGGCTGCTTTGGGAATCATCCATTCCTCTAAATAGGCCTATTTTCCACAAGACTTCCACCTTCATACTTCTAAAGCTGCACCTAGGTATTCCAGCAAGAGTGAAGTTGACTTATGGGAGCCCAAACTAATTAAGCCAGAGACAGTTCTTATTCAGGAGACATTTAAAATACATTTATAGAAGATAAATTTAGTTTCATTTACCCTTCATGATAATGTTCGCCACAAAATGATTCTTTAGTGACATTTCGGGTTTTATGGCATTAAAAGAGTGTTAAAAGAAATACATCAGATATGCTACCACTAGGGCAAATTAAATCAACACAGCATTAAGTGCAAAACTCTTCAGATCTCTTGGTTAGACAAATGCTCAGTATGTAAACCTATAACCATTCATATGCAGTCCTTGAGAAAGGAGAGATACTTTCCACTGTGGTGAAACTTTGAGCAGCAAAAGGTAAAAATACCACAGAACAAGAGCAATTTACATAGGAAAGGCTGTTCAGAGGTCATTTACTCTAACCCCCTGCTCAAAGCAAGGCTCATTAGATCAGACTGCTAAAGGCCCCATCCAGCTGAGTCTTCAACACCTCCAGGGACACAAATTCCACAACCTCTCTGCACAGCTTGTTCCAGCATTTAACCATCCTCTGTGCAAAGAAGATTCTCCTAATATCTCATCAGAGCCTCTCAAGTTCTAAACATATTGCTGCAATATATCCCAAAAGATGCAACAATACAGGACTACTAGACCCAATAAAAACGATTAACATACCAGAGGGGGCAGACATTCATCCCTATTGGGATCTCTACAAGTACTGTAAACAGAGGAAATTAAAAAAAAAAAAAAGTCACAAAAACCACACTATAATGTATTCTCAATTATACACCTACATGCAGCCAGCTTAGCAATATCCCAAGCTCCACATGTGGTGCTGAAGCACAGGTCCAGGAGGACTTGCTGGCACAATAGAGAATTAATGCAACACTACCTGAAGCAACTTTGCACTCAGGCACATCTCAGCATTTCAGAGTTAACTCATGAACATTGATTCCTAAGCTGGCAGGCCTGACGAGGTAAGTGCTGGTACACATCCATAGCTACACAGGTCACCATGAGGCCATCAAGAGTTTGTTAGCTTTGGCTCAGCACAGGCCTGCCAGATCCCACCTGGCTCCCCAAGGAAATACTCAAGTCTCTGGCCTCCAGAAGGGTCTCTTCACTCAGGTGCCCCCTCTCACTGCCCCTTGTAATCCACAGCTGGTTGTGTGCAGCAGGAGCACACCTACGGTGATGTCACTAGGATCACACCTTTCCCTCAAAGCCATCCTGTACACAGAGGCATGGAGGGGGGCTGGGATGGGGTGAAATGGCCCAATTTTCTTCCTTACTGGGCTTCTACTGCTCAGGAGTGGCCTCTGCATTTAAAAGGGATATGTCCCAAGAGAGAGAACTGGTTTCAGATATAAACAGATAAACAGTACGTGCTTTTTGGCCTATTTTAGACATGCCATCAGAACATGGTTGCATACAATCACCTCAAGACACACTTTTCTCCTTGCCTCCTATAGAAGCCCTGATGTTAAACATGCTGCTTTGCTGGTTGGGGGTTTATGGCTGGATGTTTTGGGGTTTGGTTGGTTTGGTTTTTTTAGATAGCTAAAGGCATATCTGAGGAGTCTACAACTTTTAATGTTTCATTGTGCATCCGCACAGCTTTACCTTGCAGACATAATGGTGATTTTTCACAAAAGCCATTACAAAAATAAACTGTCTACATGAAAACAAGCTTTTCAAAGCTAACTGAACCCACTCTTGTAACAGGCCAAAAGGCCAACTAAAAGCAACAAGACAGAAGAAATGGACTCAATAATTACCACCCAACAGTAAGTCATATGTACAAAATTCGTATTGCCAGAGAGCAAACCCCCTTCTCCATTGCTGAGGGAAGACAATTACACAAACTGCAGTGAGGAAACTTAACCCATAAAACAAGACCTGATAGACCCCATTAGTCCAAGTCATTATTTAATAATTCATTTACTAGTTTCATTATTTGAAACTGCCCACCCAAGCTAAATCCTGAAATATCACCAATAGCTGTGCACCCTGTTCTATGCTCCCCGATCTCCTTTTCAACGGCTCTCTGTAAATATACAGACTTTCACAGAGCAAGCAGCCTACACTAAAAGAATCAAGCGTGAAAAGATACACAGGAGCCCCTACACCGCTCAGCTAGCACACCTGCTGTACCCTGCGGCTCTAACCTCAAATCTGCCAATCAACAGCTATTGTCCATCTGCCCAAAACACAGAGTGGGGCAAGAAAAGCAAAGATTTCTGATAGATATTTGTGCTGATCAACTGTATACTGCCATCTGACTAGGATCATTCCTTACTGGGTCAGGAAAATCTACCCTTCAAGGGACTTAATAGAAAAGAAAGAAGTTTCATTGTATCTGGCTGTAACTTTCAATGACAAAAATGACAAATAAAATACATCCAAGATCTTAAATCTCAGGAGGAGCCTTGTTTATACAAACAGTTGACTGTGTCCTTGGATGTGGCCAGTTAAGTATATTGGCATAGTGCTGTGTTTCCAGCCTAGGTATTTAAAACAGACCAGTTAACAATTATGTATGTAAAGTGCAGGAAGTAGATTACTTATTAAAAGAGAACAGTAGTTGAAATTCACTCCACAAAAACATGTATCTTTTTCTGTGTATTACAGAAAATAATGTTTTGCTGTCAGCTACTGCTGGCAGAAAGGCACATAGTTAATTCTGAATCATTACCACTCTAATTTCAGTGGCATGCACAGATCCCACATGACATACAAAAATAATAGACACCACTGTCTTTATATTTGGTTCCCAAAATACCTCTAACATGCTTTCAGGTGCGAAGTATTATTTTAAGTGACAGCTATGATACTGTTATTTTACCTAGACACTGAATGAAAAGCAATAGCAAAAGTGG